ATCTTGCCTCAGGGATCTTAGGAGAATGTTTCCACAGCCTAAAGGAGTTTGGACTGATTGTGGTTGTTGGATGCAAACCTCACCAGCTACTTGGTAAAGGAGCCTGTGCTTAATTGGCTTTTAACAAATCCAATGAGTCCATTATTTGGAAAACATCTGTTGAAATAGCACTACATTCTTGCTTTCACTGCCAGCCTGTCTCTGCACAATAAAAACAAATCCCAGTTGTGTGAACAACTGTCATGTTAATATTACTCATTTAAAGCATCTCCATATAACCTTTGCCCTCAAAATATGATTTAAAGAAATTAATAGTACATCATTAAATCGCAATAAAATGCTTTTAGAAACAAAACAAATCAGCATTATTATATACAACTATAAAACTGTTAGCTTGTAGGAACAGTAACAAACTGTCCCACAACAGCATTTTGGACTTTAACTCACAGAGATAGTAAACTTGTATATTGTACAATTATGTGTTATTGGCTGATCACTTTCTTGCGATGTAGTCATCCCCTAATGCTGAAAGACAGGAATGGAAGTGTCGGGTGAGTATTCCTTAATAAGAATAAACAATAACTTTATTGTTATATCACGTCACCATCTCCCCAAAGGGATTTGAGAAGCTTATAGGTGGTACAAAGTGCATAAAAACAAACATAAAAGTGAACACAATATAAAATACAATAAAATATAGCAGTAAATTACTGTAACCATGGCTGAGCTTTAAACATTAGGAATAAAATAAGTGGCAACTGCAGTAACAGAGAGAGGCACGGGATAAAGTGCAGAATGTGCGACTACTACGCAGGACAATTAGTGGTTAAATATTCTCAAAGGCTTGATTTAAGAGCCACTTCTTCAAGTCCCTATAAAAGGAGGAAAGTGTAGGAGGAGGGGGGGGGGAGTTCTAAAGTAATGGGGTCACAACTGAAAAAGCCCACTCCCTGACCCCATCAACTATGCTTGTGACAGTGGCAGGATCTTAGAGCCCACATTGGTTCATAGGCAGGACCCGAGCTGTTTAGGGCTTATAGGTGATAACTAGCACTTTGAATTGGGACCAGAAACTTATTGGCAGCAAATGGAGCTGCTTTAGTAGGAGTATCATATACTCCCTATAGCTGGCTCCGGTAAATAGCCTGGCTGCTGATCTTTGGACCAATTGCAGCTTCCGAGCCATCTTCAAAGGCAACCCCACACAGTGTCCATTACAGTAATCCAATCTTAAATGTAACAAGGCATGGACTACCATGGCGAAGTCTGGCTTCTTGAGGTGCAGTTGCAGCTGGCATACACGTTTTAACTGTGTGAAAGCCCTCCCAGCCACTGCCAACACCTGAGCTTCGAGCAGGTAAGTCCAATCAAGGCTAAGTCCAGGAGGACCCCCAGACCTTGGACCTGTGTCCTCAGGCTGAGTAACCCCGTCGAACACAGGTTTCCACCCTATACCCCAACTGGCCTCACGACTGACCAGAAGGACCAGTCTTGTCTGGATTAAGTTTCAGCTTGTTAGCCCTCTTCTAGTCCATCACAGCTGCCAGGCACTGGTCCAGGATCTGGGGGGCTTCCTTGGATTTTGGTGGAAAGAAGTAATAGAACTGTGTGTCAGATGTGTACAGATGGCACTGAACTCCAAAACTCCAGATGACTTCTCCCAGCAGATTAATGCAGATATTAAAAAGCATGGGGAACAGAATGAAATCTTGTGGGACTCAAAAGGTCAAAGGCCAGGGGTCCAAGCAGGTCTCCCTCAGCTTCATCAACTGGGTGTGATCCTCCAGGAAGGAATGGAACCACTGCAGTGCAATGCCCCCAAGACCCATTCCGGAGAGCCGCCCCAGAAGTATACCATGGTTGATGACATTGAAATCTACTGAGATGTCCAAGAGAACCAAAAAGGACACATTTCCCCATCAAGCTTTCTGCAGAGGTCCTCAATCAAAGTGACCTAAGTCATCTCCGTTATGTGACCAGGCCTAAAACCAGACAGTGACAAATCAAGATAATCGGTTTCATCCAAGAATGCCTGGAGCTGAAAAGCCACCAGCTGCTCTAGAACATTGCCCAACAAGGGGAGGTTAGATATGGGCCAGTAGTTATTTAATATCGAGGAGTCCAGGGAAATGTTAAGATGGAAGTCATTTTATTCAGTCACTGCCATGGTAAGTTTTGAAGATGAAGGTACTCAGAAAAGACCCTCTCATGCCTACCTCAGCTATTAAGCAGTCCTTCAGGTCATTTCCACCAAACTTTCATTGCTGTAAAGTTCAAAATCATTCCCTTGAATTATACCCAGAAATAGCAATGGTCCTTTAGTACAGATGTGTACACTCATAGTACATAGGCAATCCTTGCCCACAGTCTGTTTTATTGTGTGTTAGTTGAGGCTCCTCAAGATCTCACACATATGTGACATTGGACTATTTTTTATGTTGGCTTTAGTAATACAAGCAATTTTAAACTGATTTTGATATTTAAAGCATAAAATGGCTTAGACACTGGGAAAGACAAGCATACCAGTATGAGTCAGCTTATTTTAAAAGGTTTGATGAGCACAATAAATCATCACCTTACATTAATATCTAGTTTTGCTCATTTAAACAATGTCAAATGATTTTTCACAGTACTGCATTCTGTTTTCTTTCAATATGGGAGACAATTATAGCCGGTTTTTACACTTAGAAACAGGGCACAGCCATTACTTCTTTTTTGTCAAAAGATCAAGATGTCACTAAATCATTATTCTAATGTCTCTTTTTGCCTTTTAAAAAATTTACATATATGGTAAGCCCTCTTGATCCACAGATTCAACCATCAACAATTGGAAAATATTTTAAAGACCCCAAAAGAAAACCCTGGCCTTATCATTTTACATAAGGGATACCATTTTTCTATTCCATTGTATATAATGAGACTTGACTATCCGTTGATTTTGGCGTCCACAGGGAGTCCTGGAACCAACTCCGAGTGGATACCAAGGACCAACTGTAAAAAGATATTCAAGAACATAATTTCTCATGCCTAGGCCCAGAAGTGTTCTGTATTTCAGATTTTAGTATACTTGCATCTCTCTCTCTCTAGTAGTTTGAGACTAAAATCTGAAGACAAAATTCATGTATGTTTCATATAATCTGCCCATCACATCAACAAGTGTCCTCTAGCAATCTAGGTTGTCTAGCATGACTGTAGTTAATTTCTGCTGGAAGTTCACCATACAGTTTGCTCTGGAGAAGCTAGAAATTCTTAGAGAAATGGTTCTTTAGAAAAAAGCTATTTACGGTTTCCCAATTTTCACACATACCAACTCCAGTGATGCAGAGGGCTCACTTAGATGCATCATTGGAGCAGAAGCTAGTAACAAGGTGTCCACAACTCTGAGTGGGATTACACTGGATCAGTTTCAATTGGTGAACACTGCTGATGTGGACAAGCTGCGGAGGCAAGTAAGGATGACAACCTGCTTTCTTGATCCCTGCCTTTCTTAGCTGGTTGTCCAGAGCCCCTGGTGGCGCAATGGGTTAAACCCTTGTGCCAGCAGGACTGCTGACTGACAGGTCGGCAGTTTGAATCCACGGAGCAGGGTGAACCCCCGTCTATCATGCGGGGACATGAAAGAAGCATCCTACAGGATGGTAGCAAATCCGAGTCCCCTGGGCAAGGTCCTTTCAGATGGCCAATTATATCACATCAGAAGCGACTTGCAGTTTCTCAAGTCGCTCCTGACACAAAGAAAAAAAAAACACCCTGGTTGTCCAGGGAAGAGATGCAATTCAATCTCAAGTACAACAAATGATCAATGCATCTCTCTGAGAAAGGAATTTTCAGTCCTACTTTAAAGAAGCAGTAGTCAGACCACTGCTGAAAAAGCCCTCCTTGGATAACCTTAATAGCTACAGACCAGTGTCTAACCCTGTCTCTGAAGATGCCAGCAAAATATCAGGAGAAAATGCTGCTAGAACATGGCCATACAGCCCGGAAACCACACAACACCCCAAAGTTATTTTTATTATTATGATACCTTATATACATGCATAGCCTAAAGGTAATTTTATACACATTTTAAAATAAGTTTGTGCATGAATTTTTATTTTGCATATACTGAACCATTAGAAAACAAAGGTGCCTCGGCCACACAGAGGCAATTTCAGAATTTGGAGTAGATTTTGGCAAAGTGGTGCTTAAGCTGTATTATGAAAATCTTGAGACAATCCAAATCGTACAAATGGAATCCTAGCGTTGGAAGAGACATAAGCCATCTAGTCTAACCTCCTGCCATGCAGGTATAACACAATCAAAGAACTCCCAACAGATGGCCACCCATCCTCTGTTTAAAAGCCTTCAAAGAAGGAGCCTACTCTCCAATGTTGAAGAGCTCTTATGGTTGAGAAGTTCATCCTCATGTTCAGGTGGAATCTTCTGACTCTTAGGAAGACAGTAAAACTCTAAAACTACCACAGAATTGGCTTGTTTTTTGTGCCAACGGGCTTTTCGTCTCGATTTCCTCACAGAGGACTTCGCTCCCCCTCAAAAACAGCCTATTCTAAGAGAATCCAGGAAGCACGCGAGGAGAAGCTCCATTTCCACACGCCCTTATTCGGAGCTGAGGGAAAATAATAGATCAGCCCCGAGCCCCATCAAACTACAAAGGACTTAGGCAGGCTATGACGGGGCACTCAGTTCCCGCTTCTTTCGACTATTTGGAGGCGTGCTCCTGAGTCTAAACTGAGGGGGCGTCACCACCATCGCCCCCTCCCTTCCTTCCCTTCAGTCTCAATCTCGTCAAGAAGTTAACTTGACTCGCGGGACTTTATATACATGAGGGAGATCTCGCGAGGTTACGTCAAGGAAGCCGGGCAAAGCCACGCCCCACGCCCGCCTGAGGCGACTGGATGAGCCACTAAGGAGACCGACCGGGGCGCATGCGCAGACGAGGAAGGGAGGAGGGGGAGGCCGGATTGTAGTGGGAAGAGGCGAAGCAAGAGGGCGCCGGCTGAGAGGGCGCCGCGGTGCTTTGTGGGAGACAGGCGGTGCTCTGGCTTCTCCGCCTCTTTCTGGTCTTGGGTGCGGAAAGAGAGAGAGAGGGGGAAGGAAGGAAGGGGAGAGGAGGAGAAGGGGACCGAGTACCGAGCGGGCAGGGCATGAAGATGGCGGACGCCAAGCAGAAGCGGAACGAGCAGCTGAAGCGCTGGATCGGCTCCGAGACCGACCAGGAGCCGCCCGTGGTCAAGCGCAAGAAGACCAAGGTGAAGTTCGACGACGGCGCCGTCTTCCTGGCCGCCTGCTCCAGCGGAGACACCGAGGAGGTGCTGCGGCTCCTGGAGCGCGGCGCCGACATCAACTACGCCAATGTGGACGGGCTCACCGCCCTGCACCAGGTCAGTCAGCCCGTCCGAGTCAGCCAGCCAGCCCGAGGCCTCGCCTGGCGGGGCCTAGCCCGGGGGCGGCCCTGAGGCCTCCCTCGCCGCTCCTCGGACGGGAGCCGAGAGGGGACATTCTTCCATCCCTGAGGCGAAGTGGCCTTCGCTGAGGGAAGGCTGGACTCTGCTGAAAGGTGGCTGAGATGGGCGGCTAGGCCTCCCCTCTTTCAAGCAGTCGGGATCTTCTTTCCCCTTTCCTCAGCGCTCTTGGGAACTGGAGGAAGAAATGAGGCTTATTTCCCAAGGGATGGGATCTGGGTGAAGGTTGAAGCGGCCTCCATCCCTCACCCAGGAAGGAGAGAGACCGTCTCCACCTCTTCACATAGGGGTGTGATGGTTTTCCACCCACTTCCAGGCTTCTGAATGGTTGCCACTTCTTGCCTTTAAAGTTTCCCAAATCTGTACACGGTGGGCCAAAAGTCACCTGATGTTTTAATAACTTAAGGAAAAGATTTCACACCTGATTTAATGTCATTGTGTTTCCTGTATCATACAGTGCTGTGGCATTGTAAGCGACAAACAAACAAAAAAGTTATTAAATATTGAAACCACTTTTGGCAGTGTGCAGGCTGCCTCTTGTCCTTTCAAGAAAATACGTGCAATTTCTCTCACTTTCCTGTGTCCAACTCCCTTCTCCTCAACCGCCTCTTGTTTTTACTTTTTTAAAAAGTTTTTTGATAAAAGTTTCCTCTGTTTTGGGGGCTTGAACTCAAATCCAGTCTTTCCGCCCAGCATACATGACTTCTTCAAAGATGAAAAGTGGCTGTAAAATATTTAGTGTGGATGACATTGCTTTCTTTGGTAAATCTCTGAAAACTGGTGTTTCGGGGAAGGTAAAATAGTTGTGACGTTTTTCTCAAAATGGATGTTTTGGGCACGTTAAACTTTTATAAGCATCTGATTGGAATCTCCGAATGTTAGCCAAATAAGGAAGGGCTGTGGCAATCCGAAGATAATACGGGTTTGCTTGGATGGATCTATGTTCTGCTAATAGGCCAGGAGGAATAACAATGTTAAGCTCACTGAGTATCAGAAAAGCAAGTATAATCACTTTGACAGTTTGAGTTTTGTTTTGAACAGCAGATGTCCTGGTAGTTCAACAAAGGTGGAGTAATTAGGATGTATTTTTGATGTATTTTGAATCAGAAATTCTCTTCCGAGTAGACTGCATAGTTAAGTCCTTTAGTAATCTCTTAAGCATAGATTTCATTTTAGTATTTATTAAAAATTCAAGATGATGAAACAAGCATGAGGGAAGCATTCCTGTTTGTGTTTGTTCAAGATAGCAAAGTTGGCTTACAAGTTATGTATATTTTGTTTTCATTGTTGTGTAAGATGTATAACCAATCTAGTCTACTGAATGAAATATGCTGTTCTTTAGACAATAGGCTTAAAGACATCAAGCATGTCTTATTAAAGGATGAATTGTACTAAGAAGAAATCAAAGAATAATTAAAACTGCCTTTTTAATGGCAAAATGTGGTAAAAGTAATTTCTCTAAAGGCAGACTGGCAAACCTCTGCTGTGTTTCATTACCCTAGAGAAGGGTTTTTTTTTTGCTGAGACCATATTTTACTAGGCTACATGTTAATCTATTCACAGGTTCTAGAAGAACCAACATTTATAGAATTTCTTATAATGACAGTAAGAAGATGCTGCTGTAATGGTGAAGATTTCTCTTTAGCCAGCAAATTTCTGTAATAAAATTTCAATGTGCCAGATTTGACTGTGTTAGCTCTCTTTTCTGTACCACTGGTGTAATGTCTGTTTAACTATATTGCTTTTTAAGTTGTTAGCAGCTTTGTGTCCCAACTGGGAAAAAGTGGGGTACAAATATAACAGCAACATATTTGGCTTTGATACCATAAACAATCCTGGCAATTCTTCTGCTAGCATGTAGGTAACTGGAAAGGACAACCCGAAGCTTGGATGACTTACCTTGTTTATCAACAAGTCTCATCAACTTTAGTTGAAGTCTACAAGGATATGTAAGATTATAATTTTTGAAAAATGAGAATTGCTTACACTGTAGGGTTAGTAAAGAATGAATTTGCTACTGTGACTATGCAGTTCTGTTTTTAAAGTGTAATAAGTGAACTGTGACTATGCAGTTCTGTTTACCAGTCTTCACTATCTTGGTGTCATATACATGTTTTTGCACTAAAATTGGAGTCACCATAGTCAGTCTGAAGAAGGTAATTTAAAGCTGCATAAAATTGTTTCAAACTTTGAAACTAATAATCTTAGGGTTGCTTGATTACACTTCTTGTGTATCTAGGATTTGAAAATGGGGAACTACATGGCACAGTGGGGGGGGGGGGGCTTGCAGCTTTGGATGTTATGTAAAATGAATGTCATGCCATTTAATATCAACAAAATAATATCAGTGCCTGCAGCTTTGTGGGCCCAGTGCGGTTTTCTTAAGTGCCAGCATCCAGCAATTTATTTAATAGGTTACACTAAATTAAACTTGCAGTTGATAGGTCATGGTAGGTTTTTTTTTTTGTACGGTCACCACAGTTGAAGGAGGTACATATCAGTCCTAGTAAGTTGTGTAATTTAACTCAGATAGTGGGAGGGAAATGCTACTTCTACATCATTTCTGTCCTGCTGGTGTGAGTCTGGCAGGGCTTTGGGTGAGGTGGCTCCTCTGCTTTATTTATTCAGATTATTTATACACTGCTTTTCAGCCACACATGCTTCCAGAGCTGCTTACAAATTATTTATTTGACAGTTCCCTGCCCTCAGGCTTACAGTCTAAATAAGATATGACACAAGGAAGAGAGAATGTTACAGTTCACACCCAACCTGTACAGGATATTGTTCTCTGAATTCTGAGTTTACGCCTTCATATACATAAAGCTAAAATATACTTAATGTAAGGATATGGCATTCAACTAGTGCTTGAATCCTTAATAATATTAATGACTTCTTTTAATGACAACTTAAATTTGGTTGCTGCAACTGCTGGCCAAATATATATATGAAGAGTGGACCACTTTCTGTTTGTGCATATCAAATTGAGTTCTGTTTGACAGTACAATCAACAGAAATGGATACAGTAAAATATTTAATTTTCTTAGGGGAAAAGAGCCATAATTTTATTCAGTAAACTGCAATATGTGAATTGGTGCTTTAAGAGAAAGCAGAAATGTGGCTTTCAGTTGGGAATTGTTATTTTTAGTTTTTTCTTTCTGTACTATAACAACATGGTTTTGTTTTTAGAGATAACTTTTGATCTTACCTAAATGGAAAAAATCCAAACTACTGCTTTCACATAGTTGATGTAAAGTATAATTGGAAGAAGAGCCAACATAGTTGTTGACTGGTGGCAGTTATAGTTTTGAATTTTGGTGTTTCTAAAGTAGAAGGTTCTTGTGAACAAGTTATACTCAGCATCTGACTTGTCAGTCTTTTTGAGCCAAACTAAGCAAAGCTAGTCCAGAGCTATGGATTTTTTTTTGAAACAAACACCCGCCTTTCATGTACAAATAAATCAAACTTTTCTTGGTATATCTTGGTATATCTTGTTATCAGAGCTCCCATATTGAAAGAGAGCATTCAATATACTTGTGCCTTAAATGGTTGAGGTTACTATTATTATGAAGGAAAATAAATGAGGAAAGCTGTAAATCATGTCTGAATGTATTTATAGAAACAGATCGCCTCATATCTATGTGTCTATTGTGCAGATTAGCTCCAGCAAATCTCACTAATCAGAAGTAGTAATAAAGCAGTCTCAAGCAACCATCTGAACTGCTGGGCCTCCTGGCTGACCTCTAGCCTGAGACCTTTCTGTAGAATAGAGACTGTATTCTTAAGCTAGAACTGTGTGAAAATAAGGGACAGATTTCCTTTCTTCTACTTGACATGGTGTATTGTATCAAGAACTGCAAGTCTCAGAGTTCCTTGTACATTAGCAGCAGGAAAGATTGATGTCTGGTTGGAAGGGCAAAGCAAAGCACCATAAGACAGCAGGAAAAAGTGCTGCTCCTGGTAGGCTTTACAGTTCCTTGAGGAAGTGTCCACTTCACCCTAAGAATGCTTGGAAAACATAATCTACGCATGAGAGTAAAGAGTCAGAGAAACGAATAGCATTAGTTTTATATGCCATTCAATTAACCACAGATAGTAGATGAAACAGGAGCCTTCAGATCTATTTTTGTAAGAAAATATGAATTATCTTTTTATTATTACATAAAATTTACCAAAAAAAATATGACTAATTTTTAGTGTACATATAGCACCACATTTTGCTCAATATCATTTTGCAGAAGGTGAAATATGCTCATCATATTTTCAGACATTCTGCAGTGGGGAGCAAACATTTATAAACCACACTGGCATCTTGTTGAGTATGAAGTTCAAAGCAACTTGACAAAGCAGGGGGTTGTGTAATTCATTACTTTATTATGAAATGGGCTACCAAAATAAAGTTTTAAAGTTAGATGTTTATATCCATGTTAGTCCACTAGAATAAAAATGAAATAAAGATATTGACAGGGTTATCCCTTTGCTAATTAAAAATGAATCCCCAGATAGTTTGGAAATGGGACTCTTGGACTGGATTTCACTGTTAAACAGAAATAGCAAAAATGTATGAATGTGTAAGCAATTTCATAGTCAAAATAAACTTTTTTCATGGTTCATGAGATTAGCAATTGTCTTGTTGTCATGGAAAGTTAGTTCATATCATAGGTTTGTATAGAGAAGTAGCATTTGAGTCCTGGTTTTTATTCCTCTATCTGTTCTTTAAAGATTATAGCAGTATATATTTGAGGCCTCACTAGTTATGGCTGTGTTTTTAGGAAGTTACCTAAATACATATTAAATTGCATCCTTGTCTACAGCAGCAGAGTGACTTACAACTGAAAATGGGTGCTCACAAATGATTTACAATGTTGTATACTGAAGACAGCTTTAAAAAATGAATATAGTATCTGATTATACAACAAAAC